TCCCCAGCATTCTCACGGCTTTGGGCATCATCCTATCGACCCTCGTCTTACAGCTGACGGGCAGTACGACACCGACACCACCACCACCACCCAAAAAAGGTGGCGACGTCAGAGACTTGATAAAAAAACAGTTGAAATTGGCTCGGCAAAGCTGCGGAATCGTGGGCAGCATCGTGTCCTGGTTGCTGGGCTTGTTGTCACATGGTTCGGCCAGAGCCTGTGGGCGGTCGTCGGCACGGCCGGCCTGGTGTATGTCGCCGCTAAAGAATTTTTGACCAAATGAGGCACACCCCGACCGCGATCCCGCCAACCACGAGCACCGTTTTGCGATCGAGGTGTTGCGGATGTTCGACCTCCTCGCGTGGTAGTGATGGTTGAATGCTGGGCTCTGTAGCTGGTGGTGGCGTCACAATCCCTGTTTCGCCGGTATGCGTGGGCGGTGGGACACTACTCACGTTGACATCGGGATTCGAGCCCAACTTTTGATCGGTGTTGTAGCCCACCACTTTGTGGATCCTCAGTCGCATGTCGCTCGGAACCATGTACAGTCCCACGCCGAACACGTAGTCGACTTTCGACCGGGCGTATTCCAATGTGTCGTGGTAATCCACCGGTCTGGCGATGTCGTCCTCGACGTTCGACACAAACTGTTTCTACGCATCGTAGGCCGTCCCTTGACCCATGATGCTGGAACGTGTTTGCGACTGAGCGCCTAGCAGCACCCACACGTATGGTCGAATCGAATCGTTCAACCGTACGGTGCCTGCCCGAGAAAAACCCTTTCGACGTGTCCAGCATATATATTTTCCAATCGTCTTCACACCATGCTCGACTTTTTGGATGGTGAAAGGAATTCTACCTTGACCTTTCCAGAACATAGGCCGGTGTTAGAAGGATATCTTGTTTTAACAAAGCAGCGCTGGCTTCTTTCACGGGAAGTCCATCACTGTAGGGAATACCCAACCCGTGGTTCGTACCCGGTATACGCCAATCCTTGTTCGGATTGATTTCGAAATCACCGCAAATCCGTTCGTAAGCCCGCCGATCGTACGGGTTGTTCGATGCATCCCACGCCTTGTCCTGTGGAATCGGGGCGCTGATCTCTTTCAGGATGCATCTGATCTGGTAATACAAGTGGAAATAGAACACGGACCGAATCAGCACATCACGACGACTGTCGTTCAAGGTCAGGCCGCACCCCGTCGTCGCGCAGCACATGGCTAAATTGAGTTGATCTTGCCAGAATTGCATCGGGTTGTGAAACCATGCGTGGACTGCCTTGACGTTCATGACAGAAAGCCTATACTTTTCAAATACATCAATAAATCGAGCTCGAAAGTGGGAACCCTCCTTCGCATCCACCACGATTTTCATGTGCATATTGAATTATTATAATTACGTATATATATTTTTTCAATATGTATGTCACGCTCCCGGGAATCACGAACGGCAAACCCGTTCCGCTGCTGCAAGCGATCGATAACACGTCAGGGGAACTCAAAGTCGCGCTCTGTGATCTCACCTACTACCCGCGATGGTCGAATATCAGTGCTAAGAGAAACAGCAACAAGCTGTTTATCGATAATAGCCGCCGCCTGTTGACCGACGGTTATTATAACGTGTGTATGCTGGACGACGAAATTTGTACACCCGTCGGAGCCAGTCTTAAACTCAATGAGTCGGATCGCACGCTCAAGTATAGGATACCTGTCGCAACCCATAGCTCACCCTATCGAGTAAACCCGGGACGTCAAACGCGACGTTGCAGTTAGTGTCGGAATTCGACAGCGTGGTCGACATCCTGCAAAATCTGCCGGCGCAATCCACACTGATCATCCAAGTCTACCTCGGCGAACCAAGGGTTGGTAACGTCGAAATCGTCAAAGGCATCAAACTCCATTGGACCTAACAACACCAATACCATGTTTGCTCCGTTTACGTATGGGTGGGCGTGGATGCCTTCACCAGTAAGCAAGGAGTCAACGTCACCGTTGAAAACACGATATCGCTCACAAACATTTTCCTACACAATAACATACATCTGATGGGTGTATGCACGGCCGAAAAATTATCCGAAAACCAATTAACATTTCTTCTCCAATATAAACCATGACAAACGTGACTCCGCAAGCCACCATCGCCTTCACCGATCTCGGGGACACGCAAGGATTTGACGAACCCGGTATGGAAAACTCCTTGTACGTCCTGCACTTACAAAACAACTTGTACCAACGTCGAGAAGTCATCGTCGAATTGAACTGGATCATCAATATCGTCCTGACCTACCCCTATCTCGTCATGGATCAGGATTGTAATATCCTCGAACTAAAAAACAATGGGATTCTACTGGGAAGTTTTATTCTGTTTCATAAAAAGGGAATGTACGCATCACCATTACCAGATCAAACAGGTTACATGCTAGTCCCTCACTCGGAAGATGCAACGAAATGGCTCTATTTAAAACGATATAGTGAAGTCCCAGAATCGTGGATCACTGTGATACCAGGTTCTACCCTTATTATCGACGTCGTTCTTGGAAATGCCTCCGGACAACAGGTGGAACTTCTGCCTGGGTTAAACATACGCTGGCACGATTGCCATAAAAATCAATGCTGTCGTATTTATGTGAAACTAGGAACAGCTTCCACCACAAGCCTCGAGGGAGTTGAGGTTTTTATTGGAGATGAAATTTTACTCGACCAGACTTATGCACCTGAACAGGTGTACCTCATCAGCTTAAAGTATATTCATCAACGATTGACGGAGGACCAATTAAATTTTATTTCGTAAACTATATATATAGTGCAAGATGGGATTGTATCCGGCCATGGACGACGTGGCTCAAAAGCTCGAAACTGTGGATGGATTTCGTTTGCGACAGATCAGCGAGATCAAATGCCAACTGGAACGAGAATGCAACGTGCGACTCGGATTGCACAAAAAGTACCATCGGGTCATGAATGCCATCGACGGCATGTTGGCTTGTTGTCCTCGGGTTGGAAGTAGCCGCCGGGGTATCGGGGCTGGCGGGAGTAGCCCTTAAATTCATTTCACGTCGTCTGCAACGTAAGGCCTTAAAACACGACGAAATGTGAGTGCTGGCCGAAACCAAGCTGAACACGATCGACGATCGCGTCTCGTCGGCGCTCACGGACAGTAAAATCTCCGAAGAAGAGTTCCGCCTGATTTTAGCCGAACTCGCCAAGTACCAGCGCATGAAGGAAGAGATTCGAACCAAGACTTGGAAAACCGCCGACTTCAGCAAAGACGAGGAAAAAATGCTCATAGAACAAGGCCGACAACAGATCATTCAAGCCTTCCTGACCAAGAACAAAGACCTCGTAAAAGATGCACGTTAAACTGCTTTGTAGATGTCATTATGACCTAACCGAGATACTAGTTTTAGTACCAAAAAAAAAAATATTCTGTCTGGGATTCGAATGCTAAAACTCTAGGTCCTAAGTCTGGCACGTTCCCTTCAGACCGGCAGTCTCACTCTGTCAGGGATGGTGCATTCAAGCTATATATAGCTGATACGCTTTGTGAGCTTATGTAACCCGATTCTAAATTAGCCGATTGTGGCTTCTAAACATGTTTTCAGCGTCCATCGACACATGCATCATGATCAGCGGGGTCTAGACTACCTAAGAGCAACGCGATTGTATTTTATTACACCTTGATTCGAGGTGAAAAGCCACCAAACGTGCACGAGGCAAACGAGACTGGTTCTGCGCTACTGTAGCTAGTATAGACGGAGCCCAGATCAAGATAAATAATGATTGTGGCCTCTGCAATTTTTTTCATCGTTTGTCGACTAATGTATCGTATTCAGCATTCTTCAAACTACCTACGGGCATCTTGTTTGTATTTCATGAGACATGGATTCCAGGTGAAAAAGCCACCAAACGTGCACGAAGTATTGAAGCGGAAGTGGAATGATGGGTTTCAGACATCCTTTGCACTACTATAGACGGAGCCCGGTTTAAGAGGATGATGCAATCTCAGGATAGACCCGTTAGACCGAGCACTCGGCGACCAGGTCCTCTGTGGCTCAGTCAAACGACTGCTGGGTACGATCAAGGTCCAGAGATGCGCAACTCTGTGACCGAGGTTCAAAGCCTACCGTTCGAAAAAAACATACACGGAGTTCTCAGGGAGAGCGAGTCGACCACAACCCCACGGGAGAAATACCAGAGCACCACAAACATCATCAGACCAATTGTGGGTTGTGGCCACAGAGGGCTTTTGCTATTTTTTTATTTGAACTTGCACATCGAAGGATGGTTCTCACTATTTTTTAAGGGGAGGTGGGGAACTTATTTCATAAAAATAAGCCTCTAAGCTGCATCTGATGCAAAACCCCACTCTACTACTACTATATGATCCTGGTTTCATGTCATATTCTACACAAGCAGCCTGTGAGTGAGTGAGTGGTTGGGTGAGTGAGTGGGTTGGTTGGTGAGTGGGTGAGTGAGTGGGTGGATGGGTGGGTGAGAATGAGTGAGTGAGTGAGTATGTTTTACAACGCTTTTAGCAATATTCAATTAATATCACGGCAGGGGACACCAGAAATATGGGCTTCACACATTGTACCCATGTGTGGAATTGAACCCGGGTCTTCGGCGTGACAAGTGAATCCTTTAACCACTAGGCTATCTTAGTGCCCCTAGGGTTATCATTGTTGACTTATCCATGCAAAGAAATAGTTTGCAACACTGTGTGATTCCATCACAATGCATAAAGTGTACACACTTTCCAGCAACTGGTGCAATAAATTTTATTAGGTGATATTGTGCTGACCCCAATCCTTCCCTTTGTGTAACATTTATTCATACCTTCCCCCTCTCATTTAATCATTTAATCTTGGATCACGACCCCTCTGAATGCATAACCTGTCCCGAAATAATGTTCAAATTTAAATATTATTTTTGAAACATGGAACTGTGTTACGTTATTCTTAGGTAGAGATGTGATAAATGGTTTCCCTTTACTTGTTGCAGGATTTTGAGTCAGACCTGACTCTGAAAAGTTCTGTAATGGAGCTTCTGGATGAGATGTTGAGCAACAGCAATCTTCTGCCTACTGAACACAAGGCTGCTGGATCTATATTACGCACAATTACCAAGGATACCTCTACCATGTCACTGGAGGACCTAAACAAACTACTTGCACCACCTGTGGTAATTATCTGATATTAAACATTTTCAAGTCAAATCTCGCAAAACCAACCCTGTGCTACTCTCCTGTACATTATTAATATCCATGAGGTTAGTAATGCATTACATGTATCTACTGTACCTATTTATGATTCATCATTGAGCAAACCCTACACTTATGACAGATGTTAGAGATTTCACACATCCCATATGCCCCCGGGAGAGTTTTCCTGACACCTGCAGTAAAATGTTTGCATACAGAATGTATTGACTGTTTATACTCATCACAGATCACTTTATTTAGAATTGAAGCCCATGTGGCCAAGAATACAACAGGTAATACAACATTGTCATGGTTTGTAAAGTTGAAATATAGTAAATGATAATACATTCATCTTTGAAAACAGTTGTTTTTGTGTATTCAAGTTATGGGATTGACATTGAAATTTGATTAACATTCGCATTAAATCTTTGTTTAATGCACAACAGTTCAGGTTCCAGAAGTGACTTAAATGAACTTAAATTTACAAGAATTGATGAGTTACGTATTTTACTATTCCAGTGTCGCATATTAATATCTATACATCATTGTTTAAAATCTAACATGAAGTGATTTATATCGCTACAATATTGGGCTAAACATACATAGGAAAATCCTGTATTAAATAAAAGCATTCAAACATGTGAAATCCAGTTTGTGCCTTCGTTGTCATCATAGACTTTCATCATATTATAGGAGGCATTTGGATATCTATTTTGGCCCATACGAATAATTTGGCGCCGATATTTGAAACACCTTGAATAATGATATACACACAAATTATATCTGCCAATTTCTCCAAGTACAGCACATGATGCAGTTTTTTTACTGATTGACAAAAATCTTTTAAAATACTCACCATGAAACTTTTCAATACACATTCTATAAGTATAGCCCCAAATTTTACTTCCATAGGTTAAAATTGGTAATATCTTACTGACAAATATGTTTTGAGCAATAGATAAAGACATACTTTGATGCTTGGTGAACAGTTAAAACAGAGGGAAAGATGCACGTTTGGCTTGTAAAGATAGAGTTTCACAGGCTTTGGACCAAACTAAACGAGCTGAAAATACAATTCCTAAATATTTATAATGAGGGGTTACTTCTACAGGTAAACCTTTAAAGAAACCATTTATCATCCATCTTAACACGTCCCCATTTAAAAAAAACACACCTTAGATTTATCCAGATTTTCTTCAAAACCCCACTTGTTACAAACATCTTCAAGAATGTCTAATTTTCTTTGTAGATCAACAATGCTATCTGCTAGGAGTGCAACATCATCAGCAAACAATAATATCTTGAAAACTTCTATGTATACGTTTACAAAAATTCCATGAGTATTGCCTTGATGACGATCGTCTGCAAGTTTATTGATAAACTAGGATGAAAAGTTGTGGACTGAGCATGCAGCCCTGGTGAACACCATTACTAGTGAATGAGTGAGTTTGGTTTGACGCCGCTTTTAGCAATATTCCAGCAACATCACGGCGGGGGACACCAGAAATGGGCTTCACACATTGTACCCAAGTGGGGAATCGAACCCGGGTCTTCGGCGTGACGAGCCAACGCTTAACCCATCTATTCCAGGTGACTTGCCTGATTTAATATAGAGATCGCTTTAATAATTTCCTCGTGACTGATGCTATCTGATAATATATCAATGTTCAAACATTTTTCACATGGAAAACTATCATGAGCTTCAAGAATATATGTAACATCGTTATCAAATTCAGTTTGACAGTCAGAAGGATTTAAAAGATCTATAAAGTATCTAAACCATTCACTTCATGTTCTATCATTTTTATCACGTTTACTAGCAATGAGACATTTCAGTTGTTTCCAAAAAATGTCTGCAGTCTTTATTATTTGCAGTAACTTACAAATTATTTAAGGCTTTGGAAATGATTTCTTCCTTTTTTTTCGTTACAAATGTGCTGGAACATATGTTTGGCCTCCACGTATTGATTGATATTGACTCTGTTTCTGTTCTTACATAGATTTTCTAAAGTGTTATACTTCTTACGTTTTAAAGAAGAACATTCTTCATCAAACCAAGTCAGTTGTTTTTTCATAAATTCCTAAGCAACCCTCTTGTTGGATTTAAAGTGCTCCACAGCAAAGTAGAAAAGCTGACATAATTTTTCAACTGCACCATTAACATCAATCTTTTCAAGAAGGGATGTAAACTCTGATACCAAATCTTTAGCTCTGATATTTTCAAAATTAGCACCAAAGAGATGTTTCCCATCCTCTTTCCATTGAAACTTAGGTACATCAAAAGATGGAATATTAATTGAAGCCATAGTATAAGTAGATGTAGATTCGTAGTTCAAACTGTATGATATAGGTAAATGATCAGACACTGTGGGAGAATGTACTCTCCTATCCGTAATTATTGAAAACAGACTGGTTGATGCAAGGAAATAGTCTACTAGACTAGTACCATTGTTCCCAATAAAAGTAGAAGAACCATCACAATCCATTAACAATGTCAAAACCCCAAACTTCACATAGTGATACTAAAGATTTTCTAAACCTGTTAACTTTTTCATCCATCAAACTGACAGAATGAATCAACATGGTACAGAGAACCAAGATTAAGAAATCTGATATCATCCTCATCCTCCAAAACAAAATCATCAAGTAACCTAGTTCAGGCGTTAAAATCTCCCATTAACAGAACGTCATGCTTTTCCAAATCAAAATCTGCTGCAACCACTGATAGTTTGTTTTCTTGGTAACACAACACAACAACATTATCCAACTGCAGATACAATTGTGTACAGATATGTGTACAAACTCTTATACACATACACTGCTACCCCACCCGAAAAATGGTCATACTGACTAAACCTTTTTGGCAGGTGTTGCAAAACAACAGGAATTGGAAAACAAATCTCTGTTTGTCTGTATCATGAACCATAGTTTCAACCAAACAAAATAGCTTAAAGTTTCTACAAAAGAAATAAAGTCTCCATCATCTAACTTTGAAAGGAGTCTGTGTATATTCCGTGCACAAAAGTCACTCATTGATCATCCCTGCTGGGACCACCACCGAAGTCTTATGTGGACTGGTCTCCCACAGGATGACGTCACATCTGGAGCCCATCTATCTGCAGCTGCTGCTGGCTGGTGACCTGCGGAGGAAAACAGGGCCAACCAGAGTTCTGTTTCTCGAATTACTACATCTTGTCGCAACATGCCTGATACTGTTTGCATCGTTGATGTCGTTCACCACTGTATACCTTGTTCTCCACGACCAGCTTGTCATAGGAGAGGTAGGCTTCCTTCCCTGCGTCTCGTTCCTTCACCATCCCAGGGATCAGAACTGACCTGATCTTACTCACCCTGTTGGTGTAGTCATCACTCACTCGGAGCTCTGTGTTGTCCTTCAGTTGCACCCTGGCCGTCTCCTGTAGGGAGAACTTGACGATCACTGGTCTCACATTAGCCTTCGAGTAGAGACGGTGAGCCCTTTCAATGGAAACAGACTTGGCGTTGTCCAGGTGCAGCTTCTCCCTCCAGGCGGGTAGCAAGCCAATTTTTTCGTGTAAGCCCAATAGGTTGCAAAGCTTCATATTTAGATACTGTTGAGGGCTTGCCAACCTTTTTAGCAACAATCATGTGTAAGCCTGGGCTTTTTTTTATAATGGTAGCTGCGCCCCTGCCCTCATGAAGTCTCGTACGAGTCTCTCAGACTGGTCCCATGTCTCCCAAGCTTTACCGGTGAGTCCATGAATGATCAGGTTCAGGTATTATCTATTCTACTTTCCAACTCTCTCAATTTTCCCTTCAGTGCGATGTTTTCCTGTTTCAACAACTCATGATCACATTCCATTTCAGCAGCAACTTGATCAAATTTGTTATTCAAATTAACCATGTTCTTCTATATCCCCTTAAACATTGTCAGCACATCATTATCGCTGGGTTCAAACTCACCCTCTGAGTCACACTCACCACTGAAAGTAACGTTCACCTACTTGGATTTATGTTTCACCTAACGCTTTGGTGGTCCAGGATTTAACTCAATTTCAGAGCATAGTTCCAGTAGACGGATGATGAATGGGTTTGCCTCGAAGTCGTCACTGGCTTGGGACTTGACTACACACATACACATGGTGACAGAGTCAGAGTAGTTGGTCTGGGTGGGTAGGGTGCAACCCGTGAGGTAGAAAGTCAAATTTATCAGCACAATCACCTTTAATTGTCTCTCAGTGAAACCCCTTGGATTGTAATTGTTTTAAAAGAGTTCAATTGTTTACAGCATGTCGGGTTGAAACATCCGAAAACCTGATAAGTCTGTGCTTCATGTGAATACAGTGGCTTCACAGCTGAATTTTTCAAGCATGTTGTTTGCAGACCTCTCTTTCATATTACTTTTTCAAATATTTTTCTTGATACAATTTCTATGAACATACTATAATGTCTGTTGTGAAATTCAGATTCTTTTGTAGTCTGAGTATAGAGATAATTGTGTATACACACAGAGTGCTGAAAACGTGACTCCTCGGTGTGAGCTCCACACACCACCACCCATACACATTCAAATTTGGGATGCTTCAGGGTTTTGCCTGACTTTGGCCACTGGTTTTGAAACCACAAGACAACAGGACATCCCATGGATATCATACTATGTATAGATACCCATACAGACATATTCATGTGAAAAGGCCATCTTCAAGGTCATAGCCTTATAACAAAATTCTTCAAACATCAACGTGAGAAGCTTTTACTGAAACATTTTTCATGCAATTCTCAGGGCTGGGGCATGATTTGAAAAGATTATTAGTAACAAACATTAAGTGTCAGATTCTTGTTCAGACTTCAGCTAAAATACACTCTTCTTGAAATTAAAGTCAGCATAATGCTTGAACTAATCACTAAAGCAGAACAAGTGATGAAATTATTTTGGGTTCATAGTGGGTCAGTGAGTAGTAACACTCAAGTGTGTTTTTGAAACCACACTGTGCTTAGGTAT